CTACACACTTCTCCATTCACATATCTTATATGAGATCGGAGTTTTTTGAAAAAAGAATGCATTTTTACCTAGGCATACCTTCGAAACTGAAATATTCCATATTAAATGTCAAGTCTGTATATATATTTATATATATATTTATATTTATGCTGGTACAAAATATATATATATATTTATGCTGGTACAAAAATTAAGAGTGAAGCATTTTGCCTTGAATTCGTCGCTATCTGTTATATATATATATATATATATATATATATATATATATATATATATATATATATATATATATATATATATATATATATATATATATAGTTCTAAAGCCCGAAAACCCCCAAAATCCCGTGCTATTATCAAGAAGGATAAGCAGCAATACGGGGATATACCAAGATATTAACATTCAATTCAGTGCTTAAATTAAGCCGATGGTACGCTTAAGGATGCTTTAGGCTACACAAAGGTATGTGTCCGGGGAAGTTTGGTGACACATGAGATGCGCTCTTTCTTCTCTGTGTGTCGCGCTCATGTCAAGCGGTTGCGTTTGTTTTCACGTTGACAAGGAGACATCGAAAGGGGGGTCATCAAATTTTATCATTAAATGTAAGTCTATAAGCCATATCTTAGTTATTATCTAATTGATTGTCGCTCTATTTTCTGCGCTTGAGAAGATACTAAGGCCTGGGTTTTGTTAAACAGGTACAATGGTATAATAAGGGGTACTTTTTTGGCTTGACACTATTCTATAAGTTGTGTTATATGATAGTGTGCATAGTCTCTTTTGAAATTACCATAATGCATTGTCCTTACACCTACGGCATCCTTTGCAAAACAAAAAATTCGTTGAAAAATACAGGAAGTCTACATAAATCTCACGGATGATTTTTATTTTCAGGTTTATATGTTTTCAATTATATGGACTCTTAAATTCTTAAAAATTCTTAATTTTTTTTTTTTTTTTTTTTTTTTTTTGCTCCACCAACCGCGCATGGTCACATTGTATCTCTTGTTCTAAGCAGAAAAGCAAATTTGATATAGTTATTTGTTTTCCACTCAGCTGTTGATAATAAACATGCGCTGATTTAAAAAATCTATTGTTGTGCATCGATTTTGCCACAGTACGTAGTATCATAAGTCTTGAATTGTATTCTTCACAGAAAGGGGTTTGTGACCCCGTCCCTTAGTGCCGCCGCAAGAGAGAAAAAGCCGATGAAAAAAGTGAAACCAAAGAAAGAAATTGACGTTTGGGGGTTTATCATGCATAATTTAATACGAGGTCTGCTAATAAACAGTCTCAACAACTTCATCATGCACTCAGTGGCAGCAATTGCACAAGCAATTTATCGTTCATTCAAAGTGATACGCATCCTTTTTCTGTTCAGTCAAGGATCATGTATCATTACTCTCATGCACTAAGATTGAGCAGTTATGTCTCTTTCACTGCTTTCTGATATTTTTCAGGTTTTTTGTCGCATTTATAAGTGAGTTTAGCCCAGACGCCACTTTTTCCTCTTCGGAGACCAGGGCGATAACAACATCGGTCACTAAAGACTATGCCATCACATTTCCCGTCGGAAACCTGCAAAAATGACGGCCGCATTCACAGGCTCCGGTCACGTATACGACAGTCATGCTGCACCCAAGGTAATCTCAACGACTTTGGCTTTTATGGCTGTAATTTCAATGTTATTTCCAAATGGAATTTACGATACTTCAATATACTTGTAGAAGTGATCTTCAAACATTTATTTAAGGCAGTTCGATGTCTTTTCAATGCAGGAAATACAACGCCTTTGCCAGTGTTTTGTATCATAACAGACAGTGTGAGGTGCAGTATGCAAGAGAAATGTTACTTAACCCAATGATCTATATTTGCTTTACCTAACCTCGGTTTACTTGCAAGATACAAGCGAGAAAAAAATCGTTAATCATACGGATATGAGTATCACATAGTTTTGTTGCTTCCTAATCTTGCAATGACATTTAACTGAACAGAATTGATGAAATCACGAATGCTTTAATTACACAGCTGTTGGATTTGATTTAACGTCTTCAGGTATACAATTACATGCATAAACTCAACCCTCATTGCTAGCCATATATGTAAGTCTTTGACGTAATTAATAACAAAACACGTAACTATACGGGGTGTTTTCTTCAGGTTCAGTTAAATAACATTTCTGTCTCGTTATATTAACAGAAGATCGATCTTCATATCACTTGCAGTCACGTCATCCACTTATATGCCAATGACAATGAGTTTCTGCTACAAACATTCTGACACTTCATGATGTTTTTTCAAATGAAAGTCCCCACTCAAACGTGCTAATGTGCTAACTTACACACCACCAAGGTTTTTTCAAACATAACGTCCGCGTTTCTGTTTGTTCGCACTTTCGAAGTTGATGTAACGTTAGACCAATTTTCATATATCGTAGTAATATTAATGGCCTTTCAAGTAAGTGTCACACACAAAGCGGGAGAGAGAGGGCAGGGCCAGAGAGAGAGAGGTTGAAGGAGGGAGAATGTTGTTTTATGTATCAGTTCACTCTCCACAATTTTATTTTCACTTGAAAGCATGGTCTTATCTGTGCATTTATTCCCTTTTCCGCAGTTTATCAATTTATGCGATCTTCAGGTAATAATTCTATTCGTTTCAGATAAAGAGGCGACTACTAGCATCAGATGAACCTTCAAGACATCGCCGAGCAGACCAGCATCAAAGTGACTTCGATATCCGCGTGTCCAGAGTGTCTCCTTTGGACGGAGATTCCAAGGGGTCCATGCTTGCCTACACGGAACGGATGCAATCTATTGCCAGAAACAGGGGGATAGCTATACACAGTGGGGGTAACCCTGGGGGATCGGACTCCACCCTTGTTGTGAGAGCCAAACACATCACTCGTCCACGAAATTTACCAAAATTAAGCCCCCGCGGACAAGAGACGTTAGACTCATGGTCTGAGGAGAGCAGACCGAAGAAAGATGCTCTTAGAGTGAACACGGTGAGTGCCTCGGATCTCAGGGACCTTGTGGATCATAGCCTATATACGAAAGGCACGAGGAGAGAAACTGTGAAATTGGTTGCAATAAATGACAAAATATCTCAAATTGAAAGCAGAGAAAACAGTGCTAAACGATCGACCAATCCAAAATCGATTGGTGGTGACGATAAACATATAAACGAGAAAGCAAGCGATGAGACTGATACGCCTTTGACAATAAAAGGTGACAGCCTGTCTCCTGTTGCCCCGCACTGGAGCGTTTTGGAAAGAAACAAGGCTCAATCTGTGTCACCAAATAATGCCAAGACGCCTAATTCTATGTTCGATGTGGGAATACCATCTCAACCAAAAATTAACGATAAGGATTACGGTCGTTTCACTGTTCTAGCAGAGAGACCGAAGAAAGTGAAAATCAGGAAACCTCCTAAAAGGATGAAACTCCACCGGAGCAGTTTAGATTCAATACCAGAAAATGAGACATTATCGGATATAGAAACCTCCAGGCCTCACTCTCAAGTATCTGTAAAAATGTCCCCAATAGTCGACCTCTCAGAGGACCATTACCCCCCTACCTTGCAAGACCATAGTAACAAACATACAGTAAAATCAGCTTTGTCTTCCATTCCCGAAGGTACCACCCTACCTCAGCCTCCAAACTCAGGTTTCCGTTCTCTCTACTCTACAAAACTTGATCAAACTAAGCAAGTTGTGAATATAAAAATCATCGACTCAGGAGAAAGTACTCTGTCTTTGGAGAACAATACTGAAGAGATGTCTCCCAAGTCGGAGGGAGGCTCATTGTCGTTTCCAAGCTCCGTTGACATTCAGCGAGAACAGCAATTGACGAGTCTCAGGTTTAATCTGTCACAGACATTCACGAGGAAAAAACCAAAACCGCCAAGTGAATTGTCAGTTAAGGGTGCTTACTTACGAACGCGTTTTTATGAACCCAAGTCCAAAATCAAGCTGCCAACATTCGCCAAGAAAAAGAAAAGACCAAAAATCAGATTTCTAAAATAAGAATTGTCAGAACTGACCTAACAGATTTTTTTTTTGTTATTTTGTTACCATGACACATATATTTTGTTACCATGACACATATATTTTGTTACCATGACACAAGTATTTCGTTTCATTTTGATGGTTGTGTGTGCGGGTCCTGGAAACCAGCTTTTGAGGGGACCAAAACTTGCTCTGTTCTTCATTTTTTACCTTTCAAGAGTTGAATTTTCAAATGAGGTAGATTCATCATTTGAAATGTATTTTCATATGAGAGTAATTGTTAAATGAAATATGAAGATGAGTTTTTCCCTTATTTAACAAGTACCAGATAGCATGAGTTAATATACTGTATGTGATTAACTTATTCCATTTGAAAAGATACTAACTAGTGCGCAGTATACTCATTGCTAAAATGCGATCTGCTGCTGATTAAGGATGTACATGAGAGAATTCCTTATGTTAATATATAGAAGAATGCCAGTACTTAATGTGAGTATCACATATTTGCACCAATAATGGCTGCAAATTAGCACCAATAAAACTTGTTGCTGCATTTTGCTAAGGATGATTTAGCTTTTTCAAATTTGTGCACTGAATGGTTGCAGATTGCATGCATACGCCAATATATGTGGGTAATAAGGTATAGAATATATTGTCTACTGTTTTAAAATCACCAGATAAAAAGGAAATTATTGTTACGTAGAAGGAAGGTGAAATCAAACATTTATCATATTTCGTTGCAACCTCATAATGCACAGGTAGGATCCGTTATGTTGGATCCTAGTGCACAGCATGCACAGCAGTCTCCAGTACGTGATCTAATTATGTTTTTATGATTCAACTGTAATAATATTTGCATATTATATATATATATATATAAAACGAAAATGTCAAATGAAATACAAGCAAGGTAATCCTCCGTCTTTTAATTGTTGCTCTTGTAGGTCATTAGCACATATTTGTTGTCTCGTTTCTGTTCTTTTCACTAAAAACTGGCTTGAACGAGTAGCGATTACAAGAACATTAATTTGACCCATTTGTCAAAGTTTGATATAAACAAAATGTCACTGTTTGGAGCAAACAAGCATCAATCTGACAAGTGATGATGGAAATATTTGAAAATATTTGGGATGCACCATTAAAATGAACTTGTTTTCCCAGATAAGTCCGGGGACGTGATATAACCTTCCCGCAAGGCAAAACAACGTTTCACGCTTAAAACAGTAGTCGTGTAAAATCAACATAAGAATTTGTTTCTGATAAGATATGGCATGGAAATTCCGTTGTATATTAACTTTCCACGGATCAATTTCGCACAGGTCATGATGCCAAATGCTTATAGCAACTAAAATCACAATTCGTGTTCTGATATTTATTGCACATATTATACTTTTTACTGAAGAATAGATACATTAATTCGAAAAAGATGAAATACAGCGCAAAAACCGCTGATCGTATGCCATTACGCAAGATTTTATTAGCTTAACTGTCGTTCGAGTGTAATGTATTAACAGGTAATCGTGAATTAAAAACATGCAGTCTATCGCTGTCACTAAAACTAAGCACCCTTCGCCGTTCAGTTTGTTCTTCATTCACCGGGGTCGGAGGTGACGCAGGGGTCGTTAGAGAAGGTGCAGACAATGCACCCTTTAACTGATGACGATCTGAGGCAGGGGGAGACGGCTTATTTTTGTGGACGGATTGAAAAAACTCGGTGTTAATTTCCAGTTCAATATTACCATTCCCATGATTAAATCCATTTCTTTTCTTCTCGGTCGAATTTGTATTAGTTGTATCTAACAGAAAACTGTTTACTGCCTCGGAGTATTTGAATAAATGGTGGGAGATCACCGGCTTGATGGAGGTCTTTCTTACTCTTGGAGTTTGGACATTCTGTTTGGGAGACTGCACCTGGTTTAAAGCTCTACCACTAGCAGACACGTCTTCAGTGCGCTTATTGTTCACTTTTGTTTTCGTTTTTTGTGGCTTCCACACATATGTCATTCTCTCTTTCTTGTAGTAATCTTTTTCCGAATTAAAACTGTGCATTTCCTGTGATTCGGAATTTTCACTGTTTGGTATGTCAGGAAAAGGCGCTATCTGAGGATAAGGATCAAATTCGTCCGCACTCGGTGGCGAAATTAATATATCCACGGGCAAATTCTGATCTAAGTTTTCTCGTTCAAATTTTGTCAGCTCTCCAAGTTCGCTTGCATGTTTGATGCCTTTCTTAATTGCCGGTAATTGTGCGTGCCTTTTGAAATTAGCCTCGTGAGTATTGGTATTTGACTGCACCTCATGGCTTGATAAGTTTTCAGAGTTCCTTAGTTTGTCGTGGCTTACTTTTTGTAACCCGGGAGAAACCATATGCGTGAAGTCTAAAGATTTAGTCCTGTATATACTCCCGTCTTCTGTTCTGTGGCCACCATTGGAAGATTTAAACTTTAAGCTCAACAAACCCCCCTTTGATTGTGTTTTACTTGCTGGTTCATTGGTACGTGCTATTGCAATTTGCCGCATTCTCTCAGAATAAGCGAGCATGGAACTCTCCATTGATTTCCTTCGTTCTTGTAACACGTGTAGTTCTTTCTTGTGCTGTGATTCAACAACGTTTATCTTCGAGTCCAGCATAGTAGCGGCCGCTGCATTCAGTGCAGTGGTAAGTCCTGTTTCACTGTGCCTTCCCGCAAGACCTGTGTAGTTGGTTAGTTTTGTTACAACTGCTTTTCCCAGGTTCCCAGGGCCTGGCTGGTTCTTGTCTTTCCCGTGCATATTAAAAACGCACCGACTTGCCTGTTGGGTGATCTACATCAAACAACTGAAACAAAAACGTAAAACAAGTGAAAGTAGCAATAATTTAAAACCTTTCTCACAGAATTTAAAATAGATTCTATGCAGACCAAAAACGTTCAAAATGCACGTGTTTGAAAAAAAAAACATTGTTTTGTCCAAATTAAGAGTACACCGTCACCACTAGTTACTACGTTACCTACACGAATGAATGGCATTAAAATTCGATCTGTTTAAGTTTGTACTAACTAATTTTAGAGTGCGCTGTGTAAGAAGCACGTGACAAAAAGCAAACAATTTACGCTTGAACCTTCCGTTTAATAGGGGCGCAAAAATAAAAGGGTCTACAATTACTTTGAAGTTTCACTCAACAACCATAGGACTCCATAGCGTATTAGAGGCCATCGATGGCACGAAAAACAAACATAGAAACAAATTGAAGCACACGACGTAAAACTGATGTTGCACAGCCCATCGGACAAATTGTTGAAAATAACCGATTCGAGATCAATGTCCGTTATGTGTGCTAATAAACAAGAAGTAAAAAGGAGTTTATTAAAATTTTAACAATAAAAACAGCATTTCAAAGAGCTGAGGTCAACTCTTCGCGTGCCCCTCCATGAAAATGCCTTAATCTATGCCTTACCCTCTGTAATCGCCAAAATGTGCTTAACTAAATCCCTATTTCTGCTGTGACGCCTTTTTAGAAGACCTTACACAGAAGATTACACGGTTGTCATTTGGTATTAGATTGTTGATCTACTCCTCTAAGTTAGTGTATTCGCTTGATTACATTGGTATTAAACTCCCTGAAGTTGATTTATTATGTCACGAAGGAGTTGCCTGAAGACGTAACTGGACTCTTCGCTTCGGTGCCTTTAGTCAATGTTGGCCCTGTCGGATGAACAATCATAATATTTGCGAAACAAATCTGTTTAACCACACCTTTGTCCTCAAAAGTACCACAAACTGAAACACCGCCATTCCGAAAAAAATTGTATTTGATTTTCACATTTTGGGAAGTTGGTATATTATTGATTTCTGCTGAAGCTCACACGTTTACTTAGTAAATTAGGCGACTTGTTTGTGTTTTGGTGCATCGAGACTGGCACACACCTTCCTATAAACTAATAGGGACGGTTCCTATAAACAACACAGTTTTTCTTTCAAAATAAAACCAAGGTCTCCAAAAACAGTCGAAGTTTCGTCAAGGACTTAAATTAATATCAAACAAACTTTTCTATGACTAAATCCGGATCATAGACTGTTATCTTATTCACCTGTATATATAGGGGGGAAATTATTATTACCTTTATTTACTTTTCGGGTTAGGAACTTAATTTGTTCATTGACTAGAAATATTAATCCTCGATTGACTATAGAAATGTATGGTCTGGGATACGATCTGTCACGACTTCTGAACGCAGCACTGTTTACAGAAAATAACCTTAGTGTCCTCAAACCTCCAGGTGAATTTTCTGGATATCTATTGATCATTTTAAATAAAAAGGAGTCGCATATGATACAAATACAACCCTGTCTACTGCAAAATATCTCCACTGATTTTTTTTCACCAAAGAAATTTACTTGAGAGCAAAATTTGATAAGAGTATGCAAAAATTTCGGTACTTCAAACTTCTGAAAGAATATCATAAAATCTAAAAGAGCAAAACAATTATATTGACAGAGAATAAAATGTGATTGTTTTAATAGCCACTGAAAAGGGGATGAATGCCGATCACAGCGTCCTTAAAAAGTTCTGCATTTAACTGCATTCTTTTAGGCAAACAATGACGAAGTGCATATCACATTACGTGCAGATATGTGTAACGGACCTTTGTATACAAGTTAACTCTTGGAGAGGTGACTATCATACAGCGTAGAACAATGAACGTTTGTCAAAATATTTAATACATGATATTGAACCTGTCACCTCTCACGTCTTATCATCTTTGGCAAATATTAAAGCTACTGATTTTTCAAGAACGAGAATCTGTCTACTTTGTTATGAACACGATGATGATGATGGTTATAAATAACTCTATTCAATGTGTTTATATATATATATATATATATATATATTAGCTTATTTTCATACTCAAGTTAAAAAGACCTTTCAATAACAACGCACACTGTGAAAATACAGCCGGCACTTTATAGTGGCAAGTATAGACAATCATTGCACACGCGCTTTGTAAAGAAGACAGTTACTATAAAACATCGCTATTTTTACACATTTATTCATTCATATATTTTAATTGTTAACGTCTTAATCAAAAACAGCGTTACCTGTGGATAACATAGTTCGCTGTGCTGCTATTTCTTCGGCTTGACCAACAGAATTCAGATACCTTCTGGATTTAAACAATATGGAAGGCCAAAGCTTATTTTCAATTTACATGAACTTCAACAGTCAGCGCAAGCTCTAGCCAGGAAACACCTTAGCTATATATATTGACTCTGCGTCACAAGCTGTCGTAACTCCTGACACAGCGTAAACAAAAATACGCGCGTCCAAAGTGAAATCAACCAGAACAGAATGCAGGTTATATGCCCTTTTGGTTCTATGCCAAGATACCTTGTTCGACATTATATGCGTACGCACGTACAGAAAGCAAAACTCAGTGGTTGCTTATATAATTATGAATATTCAAAAATATGATAATGCTATACAGAACAGCTTTAAACTGCAGGTTGAAGGAGTGGGTTTGTTTAAGGGGGTTGGTAGTTGCTACCTTTGCTATCTGTTATTTTGCCTGATCTTGCCTGCATATCAGAGTTTTGCACAGTCCAATTGTTTTAACATTTCAACCTCGAAATGTCCTCTACCTCAAACGCTTGTTAAGATTAAAGCACACAGATGTTTTCTTCTACTGAACAATTTCCCAATTTTTTATCTTTTGTCATGTTGATCCAACGTACAAGGGGCGTGTAAGTCTGTTTTTAACTAATTGCATTCAGCGAGATTCCCCACAGAGTTGGATTTTTTCTTGAAAATAATAGACCCGCTGCCTTAATTGCAAAAGCTAACTTATGTAATATTGGAACCTAAAGTACCGATTCCCATTGAAAAATATCGGCGAACTAAACACAGGTTTTAGAATGTGTATAATTAACCCGCATGTGCACTTGACGGATGATTTTGAAATGAAAATTACGATGCCACTTCTTTGAAATCAACTTCCTTTAATGTACAAAAATATCACCCAAATCATTGGCCCTAACCTCTGCGGGTTAAACCGCAAGGTGAATTGCTGACTGTTTGATCTAGCTTTTGTGCAGATAAGAAATCAGAAAAAAATTCTATTTTAGTATAAAGTTTATCGAGTAGCAACCAGTAAACAGAAGTGTCTTTATGGTGAGACTAAGCATTATGACAGGGCCCTCCTTCACAGGTGGTATCGAATGACATCCTCTTCAAATGAATGATATATAGTACAAAATATTGACATTGTGCACTACAGACGATTGAGGATGAAAAAAAAAATCAAATCCCTTTATAATTAATGTTGATCCTTAAACGAAGAACAGAAAGACTCCTCTCAAATGACTTTCACAAATAAATTGTACCCTTGGCTTTGAAGAAATAGAATAAATATTTATATATTTGTCAAATCTCCATTTGAATACGCTTGAAGATTGTAATTTTGAATTACTACTTGATCACATGTGCCTTATAACTTAACTCATTATTTATCCACTGTTTTGCTGCCAAAGTAATCCAACAGTTGACACCCTCTTAATTATAATGAAAAACAATTTACTTCTACGCACTAAAACTAGAGTCTTTGCTCTCTAAGGTGAAATGTGACCTCACACGTGTATTCAAATCTTTATCAAATGCGTCATTTACACGCACCTGACTTAATTGCGATGCAAGTTTTGTCCAAATTTCAGTATCAATCATAATCATAAAGTGGACAAATGTAATATTTAAAGTAGAACTACTACTCCTCGTCCACGCGCACCTTCCAACATGGCTGGAGAGAGGTTTTACAAGAGGAGGTCATGTATTAAACGATAATCAGAATTTTTCTATCTCTTTTCTTAAAGGCTGCAATTTGATATTGTTACCATTAAAAAGGCACTACATTTACTCTGTGAAACATCAACTGAAGCATGAGCCGCAAAACGTTCGGCCTTCTCATACTGAACACTGTACCTGAAGATATTTAATCATTTCTGGACGCTAGTCAGCAGTCTCAGCAGCTAGTTGATTTTTTGTTCAAACTCTGTGCCTATTATCTCCGTTCCTTTCCTGTAAATAGTGGTTTTCTAAACCTAACTTACGCTAAGATCTTCCCTGTTGCTTGAAGGTCGCCATCTTCTTAACCCAAGGCCAACCGGTAGATGAAAAGATGCAACGGAGAGAAACAGGTTATCATTTAACAGGGCCTAGCTTATAACAGCAGTCTTTACATTTGATATCGCGTAAGTTTGTGCAGTTGACACGTCTATCTTCAATAAATATTTCAGTTCATTGGGACACTGGGTGACACACGGCGAAACACGTGAAAATCAAATTGTAGATTAAAAAAAAAAATCAAATGAAATCTATTAATATACAAGACAACTAGGACCTACGTTTTGCTTTTTGATGCAGCAAGTTCCGTATCTGTGTAGGGCCTTAGACCTTGATTTCAAGTCGTTCTTGTATGTTGCATCCTATGCTATTTTAATGAAAAACAAAACAATTTTAAGGTTTAGGTAATCTATAGGCCTACTATGATATATTTTGGCTGCTATTTTATGAAAGCAAAATACTCAGATAACTTTCTTGTGTGATTTATACTAAACACCAACGTTGCTTTTGTAAAAACACACTTTATTGAGCTCCGTATTGTAACAAACAACGCCATAGGAAGCCTAGTGATTTTTGGTGCTCAACTCATGAACTGCACATTTCACACAATTATTTTGATAAAACTGGAATGTGTTAGTTGAGAAAGTTGTAACACGTCCCGCAATTTCAGCTGGTTGATCCGTTCTAAATGTGTGATGGCACTTTCTTTGATCAATAAAGTACTCAATAACACTGGTAACCGTTATCAAACTACTGTAAGCTTATCAATTATCGAAACAGTAGTAGTCCCAACTTTAAATGTTGTAATGTATTGTAGAAATTGCATCAGAAGGTAGCTGTTAATTTAATCACGTAAGCCTTTTTAATATTCATATATACAGGGCACTTTAAAATAGACAATAACTCCGTTCACCTAACATTTCACCCTCTTTATAACTGAAATAATTAAGTTTAAAAAAGTCATGCAAGCATTAATCAATTTGTAGCTTCTCGGCTTGATAATACCCAGTATTTTATTTATCGGTGAATAGTTTAAAAGTGCAAACATGGCCGCCCCCAGGCGGCCCTTGGCAATGTTAAGTTATTTTTCTCGAAAAATTCTTTCAGGTCAGACATTTCATCACAAAGGAAATGTCCAAAATAGCAATACCATATTAACACGTTATTACAATGGGAAATCGGCGCGATATAGTTTTCGTAAAAACAAAATAATTGCCCCAAAATGGGCTGTCGGCCTTGCGACTCTAGGTTTGTCTGCGACTCTCTTACTAAAATATTTGCCAGTTTCAGAAGCAAAGAGTAAAGCCGATGACTTCAATGTAATAGCTGATGTTGTAGAAGAGGTGTTGCCTGCTGTTGTATTTATAGAAGGTAACAGGTAAGGGTGTATCTGTTGTAAATATTAACACTATAACACTTAACATAAATCTTTGTAAAATCTTTGTACTAGCCTTCCTTTTGGATAATCATTACAAGTGCGACTCAGTTTTATTTACTGCTTCTTTGCCAGCCTTGCCCCCCCTTTTTTTAAAGAAAAACTTCTCAGTTTACTGGATTAATTATTTTTTTTAAACTGAAGTATGTTGTTACCAGTACCTATTCACCCCCAGACACTCCTGACTATCAACATGGCCTGATTGATTAATGAATCTAGAAAAATAAAAAAAAACAATAAAAATCATTTTTTGACAAATTTTATAAAATTGCCATATATATACTCCTCTACCAAAAAAAGTGTCACCCCAAATGCAATGTGTAAAGTGATACAAAAAATGATGTCATGCATCAGTGTTCTTTATTTAACTTCTAAAAGTAATTTTTTACAACAAGTTACTGATTGTACAACCAATGAATAAGATAACTATAGTAAAAAATCAAAGGAACTTTTTGGTATTTTGTACAGTATCTTCTGGATTGGAGGACACACATGTTGGGTCTGTGCGTGAAGTCAAAAGTGTAACGTTTGTGCAGTTATGGCGATCCACATACAGTGCAAAGATAGTATGAGATCATTTTTGTTTGCAGAGTTTTTCCTCAGTTATCCATTTCTGAGGATATCCTACACCTTCTTAATGAGGTTTTGTTCCAGGGATTGAGCTGACCAAGGGGGGGGGGAGTCTGGATCTATTTATTGTGTTGGCTGTATGTGGAGTATTGTAGCATTATCATGCTGAAACATAAATGGGTGATCATGGTCAACAAAGATGTTTTCAATAGAATTCCTTATGTGTCCTTTACAGTACTTATATTATAGATGCAATTGTCTCTGTTATAGTTTTAGTTGACGATTTGTCGTTATTCCATAACTCTAAAGCATCACAATTTGCGACTAAGCAATAATAGCAGTATCACCATTAGTTTGAGGCTATTATTTGTTAACTAACACTAGAACATCTTGTTGCAAATACCTTTGCATATGCATAATTCATTATTTTATAGTGTCTTTCATGTAATTAAACATGGCAGCAAGTTTTGGTTGCTAGTCATAATAGCCTATTACAAAGCTTGAAAGCTTATAAAAGATTGAGTCACTAGGTACCTCTGATAGAAAACTGAACACTGCTCACCAATGTATCAATACTTGGATCAGTTCAAATGCACCCTTCACTGATTGAATTGTTTTTGACATTTAATTGGTTTCAAACACTTCAAATATCAGTATTGATCAATTGTTATTGTGATTTTCTTATAATTTAAAACAATCTCTTGGTTAGCATCATAATGAAATAAAATTAATTTTGTTACATGACTTCTTCACTTTATGCCACAATCAAACTTCAGTAGTATTTGAGGCTATAATTGTACTACCGGATATGTAAATATTGCGTTGCATTTGCTAAAAGGCTTTAAGTTAGCAGGTGGGTGCAATTGCCACTGCAAAGAGGGATTGATCGGTATGGTCGTTATTTGCAATGCTTTTGAGTTATGGAGCCCCGAGAAAAAAATTGGGATTATACTTCTTAGCATCTGTTTTCCAAACCATCATGTGTCCAAATTCTGACAATGCTTCACCTGCTTTCATCTGAGAACAGTATCAATGCTCAGATATTGGTTGGTGCCCTTTCATGAGTTGCAGAATACCATCTGACTCCACTTAGACGTATCTCTCTTTACTTTCAGATCAATATTTGGAAGGAGTGGTGGGTCTGGGTTCATAATTCATGAAGATGGAGTGATTCTTACAAATGCCCATGTAATTGATAACCAACAAATTATTCAAATCAAATTACAAGACGGAACCACTTACTCTGGAAAAGTTCAGTATATCAGCCATGAATTAGACCTTGCAACTGTCAAAATAAATGCTGTAAGTTGTTTTTTGTCTTAGTATGGTATTTAAAATGGTATATCTTTTAAATCACTGAAAATGTACATGCTTCTAGAGGTAGGTATATTACAATATTGCTTTACAAGTACTAACCATTTCATGCTCAGGACATGTATTTGTCCCAGATTTTTTGCATCAGCAGACTATTTAGGTCAAATTTTTGTGAATATAATGTATACATCTGTTAAGCTCCTGTCTATCTTGTCCGCTCCTGTCTTCTTCTTCGCTCTTGTCCAATGCAGTATTTGTCAGTTATTATAGTTTTTCATCATCAGAACATAATTGGATGTTTCATTTGACCGTTTATCTTAATAATAATAATAATTATTATTATTATAATAATAAGGTTTATTTCTTACACAGCACATTCTATAATTACATATTTCAAACTGCCAAGGTTACCATAATGATTCCTTTACAGAAAAACCAAGGTTTTTTTTTTTTTCATAAATATGTTTAATGTATATTTGACTTTTCCAAAGTGCAGTGGATTAACCCAATACAAAAACAAGCCAATCTGTACAGTTTTTGTTTGCTGAAATTTCAAATGAAATGATATATGTCATCTTCAGAGACACAAACTGCCAACACTTGAGCTGGCTGAGAGTAGAAAAGTCAGAGCCGGAGAATGGGTGATAGCCATGGGAAGCCCTTTTTTACTCAATAATTCAGTGACGGTAGGAATAATCAGCGCTGTCAACAGATCAGGCAAGGATTTGGGATTGGGTTTCTCTGACATGGATTATTTACAGACAGATGCTGCCATTAATGTGAGAAGAAGGAAAATCTGTTTTTATGACATAATAAGTTTTAAATATCTGCAAGATGAATATAAGTATATCTTACAAATTATGACATGACAACAAATCAATGAAAGCATTTCGATTTCTAGATTATTTGAAGTAGTACAGAAGAGTTTCACTACAGATAATAAGTGGAACTGTTGTAATTGCTGATAAACACTTTCAAGGTAAATGTTCTCTTAGGCTAAATATATGGGTGATCATAACTGAAGTAAACTTAATATTCACTAGATTTTTATTTTTTGACAAATTCTTGTTATGCCCATACTTTTTGCAAATTAAATTCTTGTTATACTCATACAATTTGCACTTTTTAGCCAGGAAATTCTGGTGGACCCTTAGTAAACTTGGTATGTATTCTAATCAGTAAAAGTTTCATAAATCACAGATATGTTTTGTTATTTTATCTTATGTATTATGTATATTATAAGCTAATTTTTGGTTAAGAATCATGGTTCATTTATTACACATCAAAAAACTTATATTTCTTTGTAAATTTGTTGTCTATTGGGGATACGTATATTTGTTAGAGATATTCTTTTTTTTTAGGATGGAAAAGTAGTTGGAGTTTCTCGCATGAAACTGGCAATGGCCAGCATTGGGTTTGCTATCCCTGCTGACTATGTGAAAGAATTCTTGACAAAAGCTGAAAATGCTGAAAAGCAAGGTTAGTCTTAATTAAAAATCTTTTATTATCAACACACTAACAGTGTAGTTCAGTCAGTGCACTAAAGATCAAATTAAGCATTTGTAAAATTTCTAAATAAAAATTTTCTTGTTTTCTTCTGAGCAATTTTATGTTGGTTTCATTTCAGTAAAATCCAAAGGAACATTTTCAATGTTTGACAGTAAAAAAAGGATATACCTTGGTGTAAGTATGATTACATTGACTCCAGCCATAGCATGGGAATTAAATCGCAAAGGTCTCACCTGGATGAGGCCAGATTTACAAGGAGTATTAGTGGCAGAGGTACACCATCCATCAACTGCTTACAGGTATGAGACCTATAGCAATAAATTACTGATTCTTTGTCTTTCTACACTATAAAAGTATAGAATCAAAGAGAATACAGTATTTCTCAGCTACAGCCATTTTAAGATCAATAATTTTTTCTTCACACTTATTCTAAGCACATTATTATTGGATAAGCTAATGCTAAGGTTAATATGTAATGGTTTTCCTATATTTTAATATTAAATGTACAAAATAAAATTTCTTTTTTGATTTATTTCCATAAATATTTTTAAGGTGGTTAATTCAGTAACCTCATTCTTTTATACAATTTACAGAGCTGGCATCAGACCTCATGATGTTATAGTCAGTATCAATGGAGAAAGAATGAGATCATCACAAAATGTTCACCAAGCTTGTATGAACAGTGAATCCTTGCTGATAACACTGATACGTAATGGAAAAGAGTTGCATGTGAGGGTGACTCCAGATCATACGGATTAAGAATTATTATGTACTTATGTAGAATGATTTCACATGGAGGGGAGGTTAGGAATGATGTAAGAGTATGCATTATATTGGCCCAGATGATTTAACAACCATATATAAAATTTCTCATTGAAGTCATGTCATCTTTTTTGTTGTTTTCATCAGATCAAGTTACATTCACAGCTGCTTGACAAATGGGGATTTCATTTAGTCATGCAGGTACATTTTCATATATATTGCTTCCAGAAATAAAACAAATTATTCGTCAGGTGTTTTGAAAGGCGTTTTTTCTTTTGCGTGACATACTAAGAGCGTACGAATGGTTGTCACTGTTCTTTTTTGATTAAAAAAATGGCTTCTGACAGTTAAATAATGTAGTAGATGAGTGACATTTAGTAGCGCTACAACTGCAATATGTAAAAGATGCTAGTAAGATTGGAGCTGTGTTCTGTTAGTGATAATATATTTGTACTCTCTATCTGGTGTGTTGTTACAGCATCTAAGGTTCACTTGGAAGGGATATATATATGTAATTGGATATTAATCTTAAAATAAAAGAGTTCCCATGTGTTACAACCTTTGCACTTTATCATTCTATGTAAAGCATGCCAGAGTCGCAGTTTCTTTCACATTTTTATTTCAAAATAACGATGGTCAGCAGTAATAACTACACCTTGTTGCCGTGGTAACAACTCATATGCTCATACTGCACCTGCCAAATGTATTCGATCAAGCAGCCAAATTCCCACATGCTGTAGATAAGGTAAGCTTAAATGGTAATTTTGTCTGCAATATTTGTTTTTTATAAGCTCGACTGCCATTATCAAATAGAAAAAACAAACAAGTAGAAGAAAATGTCTTTAAGTCGGTAACAGACGTGCAGGAAATACGCACAAAGGGAACTAATGTCGTGACTTTGTAAATATTTATCAAAGCTCGCCTTGTCAGTGGTCCTTTAACTTATAACTTCCCGAGGCTGTGCTTCATATCACGGCGCTTGTGTTATGTGTGCTTAAGGGTGTCACTTATATCGTTGACATACTAAAGGCTGTCATACACTAGCTGAAAGCGAGGTGTCAGCTTTCAAATTACGGCCCACAAATATGTATANAATGGTTGTCACTGTTCTTTTTTGATTTAAAAAAAATGGCTTCTGACAGTTAAATAAACAATGTAGTAGCTGAGTGACATTTAGTAGCGCTACAACTGCAATATGTAAAAGATGCTAGTAAGATTGGAGCTGTGTTCTGTTAGTGATAATATATTTGTACTCTCTATCTGGTGTGTTGTTACAGCATCTAAGGTTCACTTGGAAGGGATATATATATGTAATTGGATATTAATCTTAAAATAAAAGAGTTCCCATGTGTTACAACCTTTGCACTTTATCATTCTATGTAAAGCATGCCAGAGTCGCAATTTCTTTCACATTTTTATTTCAAAATAACGATGGTCAGCACTTATAACTACACCTTGTTGCCGTGGTAACAACTCATATGCTCATACTGCACCTCCCAAATGTATTCGATCAAGCAGCCAAATTCCCACATGCTGTAGATAAGGTAAGCTTAAATGGAAATTTTGTCTGCAATATTTGTTTTTTATAAGCTCGACTGCCATTATCAAATAGAAAAAACAAACAAGTAGAAGAAAATGTCTTTAAGTCGGTAACAGACGTGCAGGAAATACGCACAAAGGGAACTAATGTCGTGACTTTGTAAATATTTATCAAAGCTCGCCTTGTCAGTGGTCCTTTAACTTATAACTTCCCGAGGCTGTGCTTCATATCACGGCGCTTGTGTTATGTGTGCTTAAGGGTGTCACTTATATCGTTGACACACTAAAGGCTGCCATACACTAGCTGAAAGCGAGGTGTCAGCTTTCAAATTACGGCCCACAAATATGTATATACAATCTTTTTTTTTATGAAAATGGGTTTGTTCTATAAGATTCAGCAGTCTGAAACCAGTGCTTTAATGACTGTTTATTCTTTACATCGGCGGCTATTCTAAAAACCCATGTCAATAAACAGACCCCATGACCGACACTTACTTACATGCAATATTTATTTGAGGCGCAGTGAACCGCAACCAAATAGTTAGTTGTGCCTTGCATTATGCAAACAATAGCTGCATGGTGATATAGTAAACAGTACAATGTGTGTGCTGTACTCCTTTAGTCGGGGAACTGTGAATACACCAGTGAATACACAAACGGCGGACAGGAGTTCATATATTAATGAGATTTCAAGCCAGGTTTTATTGGGTATATGCTGGCGTAACTAGACGACCCAAGTATGAAAATAAGACTTAGACAACCATGATGACACCAATGTTTAAAATTTGAACTATCACTATGAACATCGTTATTCGAAATACCGGGAGGCCTGGAATCCCGAAGTCAGGCAGTGGCCAAGGGAGCAAAATGCAAGATGATGGAGAACAGGTAGTACAATCAATTCCCTATTCTTTTTAGTAACTAAGATACTGTAATATTTGCGATAATCCTAGTTTTTCTTTTCGAAACTTAATCTCTGAATTTAATCAAAACTGGATAAAATATGGACATCAATCTTACTTAAAGCCCATCGTGCAATAAGAACTGTTGACCTCAATTCTAGTAGATTCTTACATTGAACTTGTCACATTATATTTTTTTCACTTTTGCACTTTGATTTAAAATTAAATAACACTATTAACGGCGTGTAATGAAAACAGAAATAATGTAGAGAGGGTAACTTTTTTTTCTACTGGGTGCTGGCAATAATTATTAAGTCATCTGCCTACTGAGGTACAATGGAGCTGTTCAGAAAAGACGTACCCTCGTAGTCTCGAGAACTTTGTAAATAAATGTGCGATGATGGACTCCTGATGTACTCCACCTTGAGTTCATTACCAAAAAAAAAATTGCTTATCATAACCATGCAACAATCAGAGTCGACAAACATGTCATCATTGGGCGAGAGCTCTTAATATTGATTTAGCAAACAATAATTCAGACATGTAAGCGAACGGAAAATGTGACGGAGTTATCGGGAATTATCAAGGTGTGTTTATAGTAGTTGAAATCAATCAGAAAGTTAAAGTCTCCATTAGTATGAGCAGGCACGATCAATGGATAGCCACGTCCGTGACGAATGTATTTGAAAGCATTGGCATCGATTTAGCTGGGAAACGGTGTGTCGACCCGATATTCTTTAGGAAGCTGTTACGTTACTTCAAGTGCTTTATCAACTGCGCTTTGAATAGTGTTACAAAATGAGTGAAGGAGAAGGTAAAGTGTTTTTATTTTCTTCCCGTCCTTTAAATTTACAGGTCCCCCCTCCGCCGTCCCCCGTCCAAGGAGGGGTGCCCTCCACCGTAGGAGGCTATGGTAAGTTTGTGACGATTTTTCATCGATTCATCAATTACGATACAACAACGTTTTAACATATATTTCTTTGTCGTAGAATAACTGTCAATTTTCTAAAAAAAGTTGCTTTCTTTTAAAGTTTCCTTTGTGTTGCCTTTTTGAAGTCTATGATAACAAGAGATTTAGAAAAAAATTGATTCCTAAAAGTGAAAAAAATTATAATAGAGAGCTTTGCATATTTTTCTTGCAAACAAAAATTGCGTCCTTTGTTTGCTGGAAGCATACAGGGAAGATATCGTGTTAGTGCATAAATGTCAGTGACGAAGGAATCAACATCTTTGAGTTCTTCCCAACTAAAGCATCAATGCCAACATTTTGGACAACATGCATCTTCGATCTTCTTTTACTAAACAAACATTGTGGTTCATTAAATACTTAAACATTGCATTTTACGGCTGCATTGACCTTTGAATTCGTCTCAAAAGGGGCATTACATAATTGCACTATTCACATCTTCATTCATTTCAAAATTTCTGAATAAAAAGATAAATAATCCGAATTATATCGAAACGTTTTCCCGGGAGCGAAAATAGGTCGCCATTCATGTCTTTCAAGGGATATGCATATTTTCTCGTTAATACTCATTGTTCATAGATATCCAGGTTACATATCATTGCCAATGTATAGCACTTCTGGTAATTTCTGCTATGTGACCTCTGAAAAGCGATTTCCTTGAATGATATTAAAAGCAGGCATGTGAATTATCATGGCGGTCGGGAATATCGATCGTGAAGAAAAACAGAGAACATTGAGTGGTTCATGTATTGAGTTTCTGCAGACCAGACTTGCATAGTCCACTTATAATCCTTTGGTTTTTCTCAAAGTACAGGGATAATCACAGGTACGTAGTTGTTTTTATCTATCTTACACGTTCTTTTTCTTCAGATGTGGATCATGAATATGCTTCCATAATGACAAAGGCTTTGAATTCCTATAAAGATCACCGGGAAAGAGAAAGGGTTTTGAACGAGGAGCAAGAATTGATGTTGGCACATGAATATACACGCCCAACGCAGATGTATAATTTTCCAAAGCGTCCACTGTCCTCACGAGCTAGGTGCCAAAGCGCAAAGCTCAACCGTGGGGTCCGTCCGCTAGGACAACTAAGAAATTCAAGTTCTTTGGAATCGGAACAGTCGGAAGGCACTGTGCATTGGATAAGCGCAATACCTAAGGTTCCTCAACGGTTGGTATTCAACATTATATGACGTATTTAACGTGACAGCCATTCTTTAGTACGACTAAACGAATGCAGAGTGAGCCTATGCGTTTAAATTGATTAATATGTATGCCTGCACTCAATAGTTCAATAGATCATGTGAATAATGCAAAGTGCATGTTAAAGACCTTTGATGAAATACAATGTCTGGTTCAATCAAATGACCTTAAGTATGTAACGATCAAATTCTTCATGTCTAATCTCGACCTGAGGTGCGATTTAAAAATGGATTAACGACTTAAAAGGATAACAACTCTTCATATGAGATTCCAAATCCCACAATAAATACAGCACAAAGGAATAAATACAACACAAAGAAATTTAATAAATTCCATTTTACCACCAAAACGGTGGTTATCGTAATTATTCGAAATATGTGCTTGCCATCGGACCACTTGGACACTTGACCCTCCATACATGGGTACCCAAAAGACACTATCTTTGAATGTCGGAACGGATTCATTAAGAATTTTAAAAAAAAAAAAAAAAAAAAAAAAAAAAAAAAAACTACCACCTTTGAATGTCGGAACGGATTCATTAACCATCGGTAGTTGTGGGAAACTCCATTTTATGGGATTTTTCTCGCCAAAACGAAGAGTTGTTATCCCTTTAACATTCATAAAACGATTTTACACAGAGTCAAATATCAGGCCCTGTTCACTTCGAAGTTTGATTTAGTCTCCGCAAAAATGTACGCGATAGCCTCCTTTTTTGTTTGTTTTTAATATACCTGATATCAATGTGTGATTAGTCTCTTAGTCATTTATAGGCGACTATCATCATCGGTATCGTGGAGACGGTGAATTGATATTGAATACTTAACAAATATTGATCAATTTAAACTAAATTTTCTTTTGCTCAGTATATTCGTTGATTGTATAATGGACACTACTCATGTCTGTTTTGTCTGCAGAGAGAGAGAGAGAGAGAGAGAGAGAGAGAGGTGACTTTATGTCGTATTTTTTAAACTCCATTTCCCCTTCATTTCAACATTTCAGTCCAACGCACAAATTTGCAAATCTACGGGTGCAATCCGCTAGGCCAACCAGACCGGATTCAAGCGTCAGCAGAATGTCACTGCCTAATATGACAGACTTACGTCACTATAAAAACAAAACCTGGAAACACATCAACAGTCACGGGGCTGGGGTATTTACACCCTGTGGAAGTCGTAGGGAATACTATACTATACACCCAGATTGGGTGTCAGAAAACCTGTCAGTTCAAAAATTATCTTTATCCAACAGACAGTCAGGAAAAGACACAGTAGACGCTGCCACAAGGTTCAAGTCGTCGTCCCTCCCTACCAGACGCTGTAAAAGTGCGCCCCCACCTAGGAGTCGAAATATTATCACTTGGGAGACGCGACATTAACACACACACGTACAGGAGTTTCTCAAACGCTCAATAAACCCAGATGTAATAGGGATCGTGGAATACTAAATCGTTATTTGAACCGAATACCGTCATTTATATTAGACGAGCTTCCTATAATGGACCTCTTTGTAGATACTGATTTTCTTTGTACCAATCGAGGCAATCGTCTACAATCTATATATACATTAACATAACTTATGCCTCAGCCTATTGTGTTATTCCATTGAAATAGGCATTCGACATATGTAGCCTATATTTAGTGTGAATGAAGGATTTCAATTTTTAGGTGCTAATATCTGTGACTCTGGTCAGATTACTTCCTGGGAGATGGATACTAAGACGGTTGCCCGCTTCCTAGCCTGTAATTAGGCATTTGTGATTTATCTGAACACTGTATGTAGGTAAAATATGCTTCAAGCCAGTATCATAATATAAACATTTACCAAGAATTTGTCCAGTTTACATAATATAACCACTTTTGTGAAAAGATTGTTTACAATTTTCCAAGTGTTTCATTTTACCTAAATCACGAGCGCTGTATAACGCAGGGCAACACCCGCAAATTACACTGGAGACAAATTTTAATAATCCAAGATGATACCAACTAGAATGACAAATTGCAATGGAAGTTGGAAATTGCATGAAGTATGCATTGTGTTGATGTGCCACATACCAATTATCAGTCATAGATCTCAAGTAAGAAAATCAATTTTTATTTCTTGCCACACATAATGTCTAAAAAAAAAAAAAAAAAA